CTGTGGGAAGTTAAAAATAAAGCAGAAAGAGAGTTCCTGTATTTGGGAGGCTTAGAGAATTCAGGCCTGAAATATAGGGCTTGCCTTTATTGGGGCTTTTGGCTACCTTTGAGGGAGGAGGTGGTCAGGCAATATGTCTTATAATACATTTTAATCATTCATGTACAACAGTCATTCACGTACAGCATTCATGATTTAACCAAGTGACAGGAGGCAGTACGGAGGGTGCATCTGCATTGAAGGAGGGACCACATGCATTATGTAGCAGAGAGCTATTTTTTCTCCAAGCTAGTCTTCACTTCTGTAGACTGGGAAAATCCTCTTGGTACCGACCCCATGATAAAATTTTCCACTAAATGTCATGTCTTTTCAACAGTATGTCCCCAATAAAGATCTTGGATTCCTTTCAAAACACTATGTATGGAATCTGAGAGGTTCCTTTATAATGGAGTAAAAGCATCATGGGTTGTGTTTAGTTGGTATGAAGGGTTTTTTTAATAAGGGATCTTAAAGATAAAAAAAAAAGTTTGAAAGCCCAAGTGAATTCATTGAGAATAGAATACGATATAAATATTTAAGCTCTTAGTAATACTACAAACCATTTTGGTAAGCAAATATTAAGTTATTTTTATTAGCAGGTGCCGACATTGTATCTCAAGCTGTTTTTGGACAGGAAAATGGTTCTGGAATCTATGTTAAACATAGTTATAGGGCTTTGGTCATCGATTGATTGACATGAAATGCTTTTGTGACACATTTAAGCCTATTTAGGACCCAAAGACTCTTTAGTCAAAGTGTTAACTACCCTGTGGAATCAAGAGGGAAAAAAATTTTAAGGCTTTTAAATATTGGAGATTTCAAATAGGTAGTCTCTGATTGCTTAATGATAATTTCCTTTCAAATTTCATCTATCTAGCTATGAGTATGTGCACACACACCCACACACACACCCCCATCCAATAGTGGAAAGATAGAGATTGTCATTATGACATGTCATACTATCATTATTATAGCAGTGATGTAAATACTTATTAGTAAACTACTACTAACCAATTATTACCACTACAAGCTTATGCATCAATAATGTATCAACTTTCACAAAATGGCAAAATAAATTTCAGTGAGTATTAGTATATATTAAACTGCACAATGTCACAATCTGCTAGAGAGAATATGAAAATTATTACAACCTGCTAGGGATAACATTGAGATTGAAATTTGTTTCTCTATTAACACATTTCAAAGTACTCTCAAATAGAGACTGAATCTTTTGAGACTCATAACCACTCTGTGAGACTGGTATTACACTATATGATCATCTGTGTTTTACAGAAGAAACAGGTTTAGCCAGGTTAAGTGGCTTGCCCTAAATCCCACAGCCAGTGTTAGACAAAGCCAGGGCCTAACCCCAGCTTGCGCTCAACCACTTCATGGCATGTACTTTTAATCCTGTCATGATTGGCTCTTGTCTTTTGCTTTTCATTAAAAAAACCAATGCAAGTATAGGGGAGAGAAGATAAAAAAACTTCTTAAAGACATTGCATAAACTTTTGATGTTTTCTGAAAAATTATCCAACAATGTGATTGATTCCTAAATACTACAAACTGAGCTTTTTAATTTAAGATGTAAGTTTCTAATCACCCCTAAGATCTTGGACAGTGTATGTAGGATGTATTAACAGACAGGATGATGTATTAAGAGACATTTTAATGTTTAAATAGTCCATTTATTTCTTTGAAAAGTAAATAGAAAACAAAGCCTATTTAAAAAATAGGTAATTACACATATAGTCCTATTTTGGTAGAGATGAGGTGGTGTATGAACAGTTACTTAAAAAAAAAAAAAAAAAAGCAAAGTCATGACCATCTCTTAAATCCTATAACAAGAGGAAAAGTGATGGCAAAACCTTTAGCAAAATGTGGAGGGCTAGTGCTGGCTGCAGGACAGCCCTCCCTGTAGAGGGGCCGTGGTCCCTGACTGAGGACTAATGGGTGTCACTATGCAAATTTGCTGTCCCACACATCAAAGGTCTGATTCAGTAGAATTTTAAAAGAGAGAGCAGGAGAGGAAAGAGGAATTCATAGGAGAGTAAGGGAACACAAAGGTAAGAGCAACGCCCCCCTCCGCCCCACACCAAGTAAACTTTAAACTAGACAACAGCAAACTGATTGGTCAGGCATTTTTATTGAAAGCCCAGAAGTAGCTTACCTGTTCCAATGTGGGTTTGTGGTTAATAATTTTGTCAATGTGAAGTGCTTTAACAATATAGTCAAACTAATATTGCACCCCCAAAGCCTTTGGTCAATATATTATTTAACTGCATCAGGAGGAATATAGTGTATTTTAAAAGCTTCACATTTGAAAAATTTTAAAGAGCTGGGGCTCTGGTCTTGAAGTCACAAAGGCATTACAGCAGCAGTTCTGATTATACAGGAAAGCATTATTTAGGCCAGTGTTTCTCCAAACCAGAGTCTGAAGTCTGATGGCAGCAACATCACTGGACAACTTGTTAGGATGCAAATTCTCCAGGCCAACCCTGAGCTACGGAGTAAGAATCATTGAGGATGGGGCCCAACAGCCTGTTTTTAACAAGGTTTTCATGTAATCCTTTTGTGTGCTAAAGTTTGCAAAGCACTGATTTAGACTACTGCAGATTACAACCTTTTGGTAAGTTGTAAAATCAATCCAATGAGCAGTGACAAGCATTTTACAAAAGTGAAGTGAAACAGAAAACAGAGTCCATTTCAGGTAGCATAGGTATTATTTCAAAAACTTGTTTCAGTTCTGCATATGTGTATACCTGTGTGTACTAACTTGGATGAAGCAGCACTTTTAATTTTTGAAGAACTGGTAGGTACAATAAAGAAATGACACATTTTCAATGAAGTCAGAACTGTTCGGTTGACAGTAACACACATCGACAGCTTCACGCTGGTGACTGGAGAGAGTTGAGAGGGGTGAGGAGAGAGGAAAGAGGGCCAAAAAAAGAATATAGAAGGCCAGCATTTTATTTCCAGAATCCTTGTGAGGAAAGAAATAAAAGGGCCCACCAGAGAGGAGGGGGAAAGGGCACCCACCACAAGGGAAACGTCAAGGAGCATAAGAACATGATAAGTTAATGAGTGACAATCAAGAAAGAACTGTTTTAGTACAACTGGGGAGGAAATATGTATTCACTCACTCATTAATTCATTCACAGAACATTTATTGTATCATCCCAAGCACCAGGCACTGTGTTAAACACTGGAGGTGCAGATGTGAAGTTTATCATGGAGCCAATTGTTTAGTGACATGCAAGATGTCTAATAATGATAACATGATCAGAGTTATGAAGGAGGTATTGTACAGCACTGAGTGGGAACACTGAAGTCGGTTTGTAATGCTGGGGTGGGGAACAGGGTGCCAGGAAACATCTATAAGCAGAGGGCATTTGACCAAAATGATCACAATATCTTAACATGATATTGCATATAAATCACTGAGTACGTTTTTCCATTTATATGTGTTTGTGTACATAGTTACACAATGCATGTCTTTATATGTATACATATATTCTCCTTTTGTTTAAAAACTTGATTGCCATATCCTAAGAGTGACGAAAATCATTACATAAAAGACTTATTGCAGATACTGAAAAAAAAAGACAAAGTATTTCTGTAGTTTTACAAAACACCACTTGCTATTATTTTCAGGTGAGGATATGTAGAGAGACTAGACATTTTCAAAATGGGAGCCTCAGAGCAGGCTGTTCCCTGGGTATCCAGACCCCATTCTGCCACGGAGAGACCACACGAACACCGAGGAATGCACTGAGGAAAATTTTATTACACTCCATTTTAGAGAAATTATAGGATCTTAAAGATGCGGGTACCCTAGAATTTAACCAAACAGTTTAGGTAAGAAACCTAAAGTCAGCAGGGTGCGGTAGCTTATGCCTGTAATCCCAACACTTTGGGAGGCGGAGGCGGGTGGATCACTTGAGGACAGGAGTTCGAGACCAGCCTGGCCAACATGGTGAAACCCCGTCACTACTAAAAATACAAAAATTAGCCAGGCGTGGTGGCACGTTCCTATAATCCGAGCTACTCTGGAGGCTGAGGCAGGAGAATCGCTCGAACCCGGGAGGCGGAAGTTGCAGTGGCAGTGAGTCGACACAGCACTACTGCACTCTAGCCTGGGTGACTGAGTGAGACTCCGTCTCAAAACAAAAATAAAAACAAACCTAAAGCCCAAAAAGGTAAAAGGTAAAATAATTTGCTCATTACACATACTTTGGTGTTGCGCCTAAATCCTAGGTTTCATGAGTCAGGTGCAGCGTTCCTGGCACCACGGTTTTTGCCCTACCACGGAGGGTCAAGCTGGATTATCCTGATTTCTTCCAACTCCACGCTTCCTCCCGGGTTGGTGTTCCATGAGTAAGTCTAATTCAGATCAAGCTGGCTTGTGGCTTCTGTGTTTTTTTTAAATCAGTGTGTAACACCAACACCCACCGAAAGCAAATGGCTCTGGGCACAGGATACAGCCATTCACGCCCCCTGCCAGGAAAAGCTGCAGCGGACACTGGCTCCTCCAGCGTCGCCCGGCCACGTGCGGGAGGAGGGGCCGCCTTCTGGTTGGCGCACCGGGTCCGTCCCTCCTAACGGCGTAGGCCCCGCGGTGGAGGCGAGGGCGCGCCCTGGCTGGGAGGGCAGGGCGAGAGACCTGTCCATCAACGAGTCCGCGGGTGGCGGCACCTACAGCACCGCGGTACCTAGGCGAGGCGGAGCCGGGGCGGGCAGGCCGCGGCCGGGGGAGGCGGAGCCAGGCCGGCGGGAGCCAATCGTCCAGGCGGCGCGAGGGGGCGGGGGCGGGGTCACCGAGCGCGACCCAAACACAAGGGCCGGGCGCACCCTGCCGCCGAGCCGTTCCGCGGCCTTCCGGCGCGAAGGCCAGGAACCTCCTCCCCTCTTTGGCACCCCCACCTTCGCAGCTCAGATCCTGTCGCCAGCCCGGCCCCTCCTTCACGGGGGAGCGAGGCGACGGTTGCCGGGAAGCGCGCGCCACCCTTCCCTCCCATTCTTCGTCCTCTCCTCGCGCGCCACCCGTTTTTCCTCTTTCTCCGTTAATAACAGTTGGGTGGCTGGGGGAGGAGGGAAGGTGGCCTCGGCGAAGTCTGGGCGGGCACCTCCCACTCAGCCGCCTGCTGCCGTGTGAGCCGTAGGATGGCGGCGGTACCAGCGGCCGCCCGAGAGGAGGCGGTGCCGAGGCCCGGGGCGCCGAGCGCGGCGGCAGAGAGCGGCAGCGGCCCGTCGTGGCGCACCAGAACCGAAACCAGCGGCAGCCGCACGTCCACCTGAGCCGCCTCTTCCCGCTGGAGCTTGCGAGCGGTGCCCGCAGCCGGATTCCCTTCCTCTTCGCGTCCCCTCGTCTCCTGCGCCCGCGTCAGGCCGCCGGCCTCGCCCACCGCCTGGAGAAGAGCGCCCAGAGCTCCGACTGCCCCTCGGGGCGCCGGGCGGCGGACCTGGACGTACGGGGACCTCTCTGGGCAGGCCGCGGCGCCTCGGCCCTGCCCTCACGCTTCTGCCCTCGCTCCCACCCTCCCGGAGCTCCGGGCGTTGCGCGCGGGCCCGGCCCGGGGCAGGGCGGACATGGGCGCCAAGCAGAGCGGCCCGGCCGCTGCTAACGGCCGCACCCGCGCGTACTCGGGCTCGGATCTGCCTTCCAGCAGCAGTGGAGGGGCCAATGGGACCGCGGGCGGAGGCGGCGGCGGCGCTCGGGCCGCCGCCGCGGGGAGGTTCCCGGCTCAGGTGCCCGGCGCGCACCAGCCCAGCGCCTCGGGCGGCGCCGCAGCGGCCTCGGCGGCCCCGGTAGCCCCGGCCCCGCGCAGCCGCTCCCTTGGCGGAGCCGTGGGGAGCGTGGCGTCGGGGGCTCGCGCGGCGCAGTCCTCCTTCAGCATCCCGAACAGCAGCAGCGGCCCGTACGGCTCGCAGGACTCGGTGCACAGCAGCCCCGAGGACGGCGGCGGCGGCAGGGACCGGCCGGCAGGCGGGAGCCCCGGCGGGCCGCGTCTGGTGATCGGCTCCTTACCAGCTCACCTCTCGCCGCACATGTTTGGAGGTACGGCCCCTTCTCCGCGCGTTTGCGCCCGGCCCTCCCGCGGCTGCACGTGGGCAGCGGCCGCCGGCTATTTTTACCCTTCTCCTTTTCTCCTTCGGCCGGGGCGCCTGGGGGCTGTTGCCCGGCCCGGCTGGCGCGCGTCTCCATCCTGGGAAGAAAGCCGGCAGTTAACACCTGCGGTGCTGGTACTGCGTAGCGTGGTTTTGTTTTTAAACATCGTAAGCACCCTCACCTCTGCGGCTCCCCAATAGAGAAGGTCCATTTTCCAGTGAGGTGACTGGAGCAAATGTTGTTTTACAACCAACCAACGAAACAGCCCTTGAGGTTGTGGCTTTTAGTACCAGGAAGTCAGGAGGAGATACGTTGCTAAATGTAGTTATATCTGGGGACTCCAGTGAGGAACAGCTTTTAAAGGCCAAAAGTCAAAGGGTCTCAAATGAACATTGAGTTACCATCTTTGGGCCGACTTTTAATATAAAGCTGTAATCCTTAAATCTGTGTCAGTCCCACTTTGTCAGTTTAATTGGATGAATGCGTTAATGAAAAGTTTGTTTTTAAACCCCACTTAAAAATTTAGACTTAAAAAATTAGACTTACTGTACTTCCAATTATTTAATTTTTTAATATGTATGACAGCATTATTATGTTTATTCAGTTTCAAATTGTATAAATGTTTGGTTACATACAAATAACAGTTAATGTGAGTCCTGCTTAATTTGGACAGCATTTTAGAAATGGATGAGTTTCTTAAGGAAATAAAAATTTTGCAACTCTGCCTACAAGGTAGGCTTGGTTCTTTTGAAGAGCGGTATTGACTAGAGTTAAGGAAAAGTCAGTTGTGAAAAATGGACATTTTTAATAGCAAAATGATGTGCTCTTCTATAGAAAGAGGAGGAAGGGTGCATTGTCTTGGGGAAAATGAATTCTGCCTCTTCAGTTATGTTTTATGCTGATCTGCTTTATTGAAAACGCTAATAGTAAATGAATCAGGACCACCTCCCTGCTTTATGAAAATAAATAGAAGTATAGATAGATAAGCATTCCCATGTCATTGCATTATGTATATGATATTAGAGAAATTCACAGCTGAGCACAGACGAGCAGCGAAAACACCATCCCTTATATTTTTGTGCCTCTTTTACTCATATTTATAAACGTAGGCACTTTGAGTAGAGACTTAGTAAAGTGGAATACTTAGTAATTTATCTGTTCTGATGTTTGTACTATCAACATTCACTCCAGCATAAGTTAAAAATAGGAGTGTCTTGTTTAGTTTTTCCTATTTAGCAACGCTTTGCACATTCAATATGGAACAACGCTTAACTTATAATTAGCTATCTTGTTTTAAAGTAATTTTTGCTTCTTAATTAAATATATTCATCCTTCCTAAAATTGGGCTATTTTTAAACATCATTTGCTTTTGAGTAAAAGAACTGTCCTTAGAGTGATTTGATCCCAACTGATCTAACAGTTGAAGGTGCTGTAGTCCACATTGAAGAATTTAAAAGGCAGTTTCTGAGAATTGGTGATCAGTGCGAAAATGAAGGACAAACTGGTTTTTAATATTTTTTTAAGTGAAAATTTGCATTTGGCAGTTATCAAAAGATGAACATTTAATTTTGTTGAAGGGTGAATAGGAAAAGCCTTGTCAAGTTAATATTTAATATGCTGATTTTTAAAAAATCGTTTTTTAAGAGACGATAATTCCCTTTGGCAAACATTATATTTGTATGGGTTTATTTTGTTGAAGTAAATGCATTTGATTCAGAGCAAGGGACACACAGTTGAGCCCCATGCTATTCCTAGTAAATGAGTAAGTAAAAATACCTAGTTGTTAAAGTTGGAGGTAAAGCATTTATCTTTTTTCTTATCTAAGTTCTGTATTTGTGCACTCACTATAGTTCTTTTAGTACTGTTGGGGTTGAATGACTGGGGCCTAGTAGCACAGTGACACTTTCTGAGGAACTTATAGCAGCCTTTCTCAACCAGCTTTCTGGAGAGAATTGAGCGGTAGTGTGCAGTGGATTTTAACTTTTAGCTCCAGTGCATTTAGAATGGTTTTAGTTATGTATCACTCTTGGAACAATTGAGAAAACAGTCACTGAAATAATTTCCTGTATTTGGTGATTCAGATGAGGAACCTCAGTTGAGAAATGCTGGAAGGGGATCAGAGAAATTACCTGATCTTTTCTTGTTATATGACAGATCAGATTTAAGTGCCATCCTTAAATCTTTGTTGAGACAGGGAGATGGAATACACTTATGTAAAACCTCATATTAGTGGCATTGCCTTACTGAGTGGCATTGCCTATTTATTAGCGTACGGGTTATTAGGAAAACAATAGAACTCGATAGAAGCATGTTTCTCATCGTCATGAGATTTAGAGAGCTAGATGAAGACTCTCACAATTTAAAAAAATTAGACTTGATTGTACTTCCAATTTTTTAGTATCTATTACAGTATTGTGTTTATTCAGTTAAAAATTGTATAAATGTTTGGTTACATACAAATAACTATCTGAAAATTGATACAGGGATTATTTCTGAACTAATGGAAAGTTCATATTGTTTTTTGTAAAACTGTTGTTTTAATTGTTTACATTGTTAACATCTAATAAGAAAATGTGGTACTAATAAGATTCAGAATTATTCTTTTGTAAGCTGTCATGTAATTTACAGAAAATGAAAAACAGTACCCCCCCCCTTTTTTTTTTTTTAACACTTAAGAGTCTGGCAAGTGGAATTGTTAGTAGTTCCCTCATAATGAATGGACACACTGAATGAGGAGGTTTTCTGTGTTGGTTTTCTGTTTTGCTGTCTTTTGGATGTCTATTTTGGCTATATACACTCTTATTCTCTCTAGAGAACTGGAAGGAAAGTGCCTAATCCAGATATTTCAGTTTGTAGAAATTTCCTAGAATCAAGTTACTGGACAGCAGAATATGATTATATCTATATAGGAGATTTTAGGTGAAGTAAATCTCGTCTTTGTTACTCTTTTCAGACTGCTGGGTGTTATAGTGAACAGATGCTCTCTTGACTACCTAGTGTTGTCCGTCACCTTTGTTTTAAAAGAGGTGTTAAGGGTATTTTCTAGTATTTAAAAGTCTTGATGATTTAAAAGTCTTAGGATTTGTTTGGCTTTAATTTATGTCTACGTTTTTTTTCCCTATGTCAAGTAGCTATTGTTCATACGAGCAATTAATATGAGTGGTAAAATAGCCTTTACTGATGTAGCAAGGATGGAGTAGATGAATTAGGCTATAGAAATATACCAATAAATGGAGATTATTTCCAGAGAAATCGTGTGGACTTCTATAATGTATGCTTGTGTCCGGAAGTGAAAATGTAAATGACTTAATCTAAAACAACCAGTGTTTCTGGGTTGCTTTTGGCCTCCTGATTGTCTTAAGCTTTTTTGGGTGTGGCTTGCTAGTATTTCAGTAGTCTGATTATAATTCAGGTGCCTCCTTACTTGTGAAACATGTTTCCTTATATTGAAGGAGTGTGGGTTTTCTCTTAAAACTGAAGATGCTGAATAAAACCTGTATTTCTAGGAAGATTTCTCTTAATTTTTAAGGCAGATGTGAAGTTTTATGGTGTTAGATTATCTTCATGAATTAACCATTGTCGAATTGGTCTCAGTTATCACTTCTTACCAATATCAAGTGGAAAGTGTTTGAATTTGGGATATTGTAATTAATCTACTTCATATTCCTGAATATTCTTTTCCATTGAAGGCTTTTATGGGGAGTGGCAGAAGAGGAATGTTTGCGTCTTTCTAAGAAAAATGAGCCTTCTAACCACCACCCCTGCCACTCCTGAAGTAAGAATTTTGGAGGTTGTTTCTCAACTTGTAATTTCATACCTTCATATTGTATGCTTTGCTGTGCTTAAGTGTGGCCTGTGTCATGGAAGTTTCTGCTTTGGGAATTTTTTGGAACTATTCTTGACTGCAAGGTGGGAAGGTTACATAGGGCATCACCTGGTCTCTGAGCAGCCTGACCTAAGAACCTGGTACTTTGATGCTTTGCTGGCTGCTGCAGTGCCTGAGGGAGTAAGAGCCCTGTTGTAAGATAGTGTCTTATTCCCTCTGGCATATCTCCAGCAAGTACCTTGCTCTCCTCCAATTTGATTGCTTTGCCTGGTGACCAGTAAGTTCTTCTAGTTACCAAATATCATTAATTAGATATCAACTTTTAAACTATTTATTGTTTGAGTTTAAAGGAGAATTGCCTTAATGTTATACTTATTACATGTACTAAGTATTATGTACAATTGAGTATGATGGCAAATGTGTTAAAAGAGTGTAGGAATTGCTTTCTGTATACAGCAAATTACTTGCTAAGTTTTGCCTTACGTAAATATTCTTAAGAACTATTGTTTATTTGAAATGTTAGTCTGTGTTTTAATTTTGCATGTACATGACTGGTTCCACATTTATTTGTTTAGAAATGAGACAAAACCTAGGCCTTTGTGAACAAAGGGTTCAGAAATACCTAGGTTCTGATTTTACTCACTTTCTATGCTGCTTATTCACAAATGACTACAAATTTAGCGGCTCTAAGCAATACATTTATTGCCTTGGCACTTTCTGTGGGTCAAGAGGCTGGGCACAACTTAGCTGGATCCTCTGTAAGACTGCAGTCAACGTATTGGCAGGGCTGGATTGTTGTCTGGAGACTCAGCTGGGGAAGGGTCTGCCCCCACACTTCCTCGAGTTATTGGCAGAATTTATTTCTTTGTGGCCATTAGGTTCAGAGCAGCTTGCTTCTTCAGAGTCAGCAAAGGAAGAGACTCTGTAAGGTGGACTGGTGCTATGTTCTTACAGAATTCTGTGGTGTAAACACATACAACCCATTGCCTTTGCTGTATTTCATTGATTAGAAGGAAGTCATATGTCCAGTTCATGTGCAAGGGGAGGGAATTATACGAAGGTTTAAACATCAGGAAGTGTAGGAATCAAGAATATTCACGTCAGTTCTGTCCACCACATAGAT